AGAGCGGATATCGTATGAATGTGCAAAAAAACACGGTACGTTCGTGCTGTGTCCGTAACGTGCCGTAGCCGTGATGCATTGGAAAATCTTTACTTTCATTTGAAATCCTAGAAGGCGAGGTTCCGTGACCGTGCCGTGTCCGTGTTGTGATCCGTGCTTTTGCACAGTCATACGAAATCCGCTCTATTTCATATCCTGTGTATCAGCCATAAGGGGAATGAGGAGGGCCGAGCGGAGATTGGGGAAGAGTTATACCCAATCTCCGCTCGGTCCTCTCCAGTCCTTTTAAGGCCAATATGCAGACTAAACCAATAACTATAAAATGAAGTATGACAGATACCTCTGCCTTTTTCAGCTCCTTGTTTAGTGACCTGATGAGTTTTCCTGGCTGAACAACATCAGGAATAAAAAACTTGTGAAGTTTTACAAAGTCCTGGAAGAAACAAATTGCAATAAATTAGAGATTAATGTTATATAAGCACTAAATCAAAAAAAATGGTGCATTAGTCTCCTTCATGGTTCTCTCTTTCAACTTGAAATGTAACGTTGCCTTGCAATGAATTTATAGGACTAGTGATTGTGCAGTTTTAGACACCTTTTTTAATGTTGCAAGATGGCAAGGTGAACCATAAAGACTGTTATGCAATGTGGTGTCATTGAATCTCTTCCTACATACAGTAACACTGAGACATCCAAATCCCCAACAGTTGACTGAGTGGAATCAGTAAAAAAAGTGTGTACCTCTCCTTTTGTGCTCCATTCTTTGAGCTTATCAGCCATTGATCTCAAGCCTTTGACAAGATAAGTTGGYGCCCGCAAACCATTTTCATGAATTCCTAAAATCCAGCAGACATTGTGTTAACTTAAAACCTACATTTGTGTCAGGTAGAGTACAACCTAGACGAAGCCTTGAAATAACCAATGAAACAACTGATCAATGTAATGCTGGCTCAATAACACAGGGAGCCCATTCTATAAAAGGTGTGAAAAAAGTGACATAAGTGAAAAACGCACTGCACATGCCCACAGCTTTCCCGCCAGTGAGCGTGCACGTCTTGAAATCTGTACACAGAGCGCTTGGCAATTTACAGCAACAATGAGTGACAACACAGAAAACACGACAAAAAAGCTCATTTTCTCAAAGTAGAAATAACAAGATAAAAGTTACCCTGGGAACCAGAGGCTGGATTTACTCATTCTTGTAGTTTATATACGGCGCGAAGCGCCGTCCTTGAGGCCGAAGGCCGAACCGTAAACCAGCCGGCCTCAAGGGCGGCGCTTCGCGCCGTATATAAACTACAAGAACGAGTAAATCCAGCCTCTGGTTCCCAGGGTAGATAAAAGTAGAAACTACATACTAAAAGAACCTATCATCAACAATGATTGATGGAAATATGAATATTATATATATCGGTAAACGAGCTTATAAATTGTAAAAAACTTTCACAAAAATCGCTTTACAAAGAAAATTAGGCAGATTTCAGCTGGAAGGCTGTGGACATGCGCAGTGTGTTTTTCACCAGTGTCGTGAAAAGTACCTTTTAACTTGTCCAGCAAGTAAATGGCTGCGTACCAATTCACAGTCTCATAAAAGGGATGTTGAAATTTGGTTGGTGTCTTTAACTTTAACTCCAAATCATAGATCCTAACAAAAATAATTTAATCATGAAGTCATATAATGTATAGATACTAAAACATGATCACTAA